CTGGAGTGCAGTGGCGCCATCTCGGCTCACTGCAAGCTCCGCCTCCGGGGTTCACGCCATTCTCCTGCCTCAGCCTCCCGAGTAGCTGGGACTACAGGCGCCCGCCACCTCGCCCGGCTAGTTTTTTGTATTCACCGTGTTAGCCAGGATGGTCTCGATCTCCTGACCTCGCGATCCCCCGTCTCGGCCTCCCAAAGTGCTGGGATTATAGGCTTGAGCCACTGCCCCCGGCCGGAATCAGAATTTCGTGAGTGAAGGAATTAGGAGTCAGAATCATTAAAAAGTTCTCCTAGTGATTCAGATGATAAACTAGGCTTTGGGAACTACTGATCCTATCAACCCTCTACTTAATGCTAGAATTCTCTGAACAGAATTTCTTCAAGATTTTTGTTTAGCACTTTTAGAACACAGTAAGCTCACTACGTCACAGGACAGCCCTTCATGGGGAAGTGTGTAATGTGTAGGGTTTTGATAGTCAGAGGTAGAGGGTAAGGTTGTTTGAGACAGAGTGAATATTAGAAATAATCAGAAAACAGAGGGAGATAAGTTTGGAAGGAAAACTTGGAGCTCCTGCAAGAGGAAACCTGTGCCAGGAGGAAGGACTTGGAGAGCTGACTGCAGGAGCTCAAGTGAAGAGTAATAAGAATTTGGATTAGAAGCAGTAGGAATGACAAAGAGGAGGAAAGAATAAGCTGCATTGCAGGGCTAGCCTACAAAGCTTGGTGACTGGGAACAAGGATGATTCAAGGTCGATTTTTGGATTTTGAGGTCCTGGAGTACAAAAACCATTACTCAGGACAGTGACATTAAGATCAGGAGTAGGTTGAGAAGGCAGATTACAAATCATATTTTGACATTAGAAAATGCATTTGTTTCCATCACCTCCCACATCACTCTATCACTCGTCCCAGGGCAGAGCTTATCTATGACTCCGTGTGTGCTCAGAGATTGGCACTGAGTACACTCTCACAATGTCTGGTGAATGAAGAGCCAGTGTAAGTGTCTTCTACTCTGGTATCCTCCCTGCTTTAGTTTAGGACCTTATTTCTCACTTGAGTCATTGCAAACTCAAGGTCCCTAGCTTATACCACTGTCTTTATGTGTTTTAGAACGAGGCACCCCCTATGGGTTTATAAATTAGAAAAAGAGCCTTCATTTAAATGAGTACAGCCCTTTGTTCAGGGCTTGGGAAGCAAAGTTGACCTTTGTGGGATAAGTGTCTCCCTTCCTGCTGGAGGAAACCTCTTGTATCAGGATGGAGGGCTTAGAGAGCTGACTGCAGAGGTGGAATTTTAGATCTCATTCATTCCCTCAGCTGGCATGGAGCACCCTGGAAATGTCTCCCAGTTGGCCAACTTGATTCTGCCTTGCCCATCCCTCTCTCTTTTCTACCCCCTAGAATTGTTTCCTGAAATACCTGCCATTTCTATTTCCCTCAGTCAGAGTGATTTTTTTTTTAAAAAATTCTGAAATGTAATCATATCACATTCTGCTTCAAACCTCTCCATGTTTCTCCAGTGCCTGTAGTATGAAGTCCAAGTTCTTAACTTATAACAAAAGTCCATTTACGACAACTTCTTCTGAGCCTCTTCTCCAGCAGCCACTCTCCTTCACCGTCTTCCTCTTCAGCTGTAGTTCCGTGAACTGACACTGCACAAACAGGCTCCACTGCCCTCACTGCTGGCCCAACGGCCACTGCCCCTCCCCAGTGCCTCAGATGGCCAGACTGCTTCTCGTTTCTCCCAGATTGACTTGATTCATCTCCAGGAAGCTGTTCCTGTCCTAATTCCAGTATAGATTAGCACCTGTCACCCTGCACCCTTCCCTCCTGCACTGATACCTAGGACACAGAACTTTCCAGGCTGTGGACGTTCTACTTTCCTGTCTGTGACCTCCCTGAGGACTAAAAATGTGTTTTGTTCCTGTCTTTTCCTCTAGTATTTGGCTCAGTCTTGTTGAATGGACAAATGAAAACCTGACTTAGAGATAAATGAAAAATATATATTTTTTATCACCAAAAAACCCCAAAACCAAAACCCAGACACCAAAAATTCCAAACAACAACAAAACCCTCAAACCAAAAGTAAATAAATAAATAAATAAATAAAAATTCAAATGTTTTTTGCTTCTTTCTGAACATGAGGTATCTTGCGAGTGGTCAAAGCCCTTTTCTTTTCCATATTTTCTGTAGTCTTGAAATGGCTATTCATTTAGGAGGTTAATGATCTATGGGAAGATAATTACTGTGGTTTATTTTGCATCCTGTGGCTTTATTTTAAGGCTGATTTGTTCTGGTGTGCTAATGTATTTAATATTTGTGAGATACTTTAAGAAAAATTGCCGCCAGGCTTGGTGGCTCATGCCTATAAACCCAGTGCTTTGGGAGGCCAAGGCAGGACGATTGCTTGAGGCTAGGAGTTTGTAACCAGCCTGGGAAACATAGCGAGTCTCTACAAGAAATAATAAAAAAAAAAATTAGCCAGACCTAGTGTTGCTTGTCTATAGTCCTAGCTACTTGGAAGGCTGAGGCAAGAGGATCTCTCAAGCCCAGGAGTTCTGGATTACAGTGAGCTGTGACTATGCTACTGTACTCCAGCCTGGGCAACAGAGCAAGACCCTGTCTCTAAAATAAATAAATAAATAAATACAAATGAAAAAAAAATTGCCCATAGATTTAGTAACGTCTCCGACCCCTTTAAAAACAATTAAACTTTGTTTTTTGAAAAATGTTTTGAAGATGGAGGACTCTGCCCATGTGCCTGAGACTGAAAGGTCAGCAATGATAACTCTAATAGTGATTTCATTTGTTAAAATGCTAGACCAGCCCAATGATGAACTTTGGAATGCCTAGATAGTCTATCAAAACGTTGTGCCTGAAACTTCCAGCCTGATTTGTGTGTGTGTGTGTGTGTGTGTGTGTGTGTGTGTGTGTGTATCTCTCTTCCCACAAAGAATGTGAAGAACTGTGAAAACATGTTCAATAAAAAGAGACAATTAAGTGTAAAATATCACTTAAACATCAACAAAAATTACAACTAGGCAAAATATGGTAGTAGGATGACAAGACAATAAAAATGAGAGGTGTGTCATCAAAGTGTTAGCCTAAATGTGGGTAGAGATGACTCTGTGCAAAGATTTTTCTTCCTCGGAGCCATGATATTAACAGTGAGAAGAAATGCTGCTTAAGGCACAAGTGTGTGCATGGTAAATGTTTGTTTTCATTCTCTTGACAGTAATTTAAAAATGTTATCTATGATTTTCAGCAGGCATAGTTTTTACTACTTTTTCAGTTTATTCCTTGTTTCCAGTAGTATTTATGGCTTTTTTTTTTTTTTTTTGCTTTGACTCTTAGTCATTTTTTAAAAATTGATGAGTAAATAGTGATTTTAATACTCTTTTATGATTAACTATCACACAAAAATTGGGCTTTATGCACTGATTTTTCCTTCAACTTTTTTCTCCACACTCTGTATGTAACACAAGCTTTGTTCAAAGGAATAACTATGACAAATATGTTTAGATACAACTTGATTTATAGTTTTAGCTTGGAGTCTATGATATTGAGCCTTAGTTACCTTATCTTTCAGATAAAACTTAAATTTCGGAAGACCAATATATTCTCGAAATGCAAGGTTTAATTATTGTAGGGAAGGTATTATTTCATATTTTAATTTATTAATACTGTAGTCATAAATGTACTTTACATTTCCCACAAACTTTCTCTTTTAAATATGCCTCATTTCCATGTTTTCTGTGAAGTGGTGTATAACAGCTCATACTGTCGATATCCAAAATATTTCTCCCTCCTTTCTTTACATATCTGTTGGGTGCCTTATGGGGAGCTCAGAGGGACATACTTGGCCACAAAGAGAGACAGTTCTGTCTTAAACAGCTTTTCCCCAGCGTCCCTTTCCAGTACAGTGCCAGGCTCATATGATGTACTCAGTAAATACTTGCCAATTTGAACTTGACATTATAAGTAATTTTATCATTTATTTCATTTCACTGTTTATTTTAGTGGTAAAGGGTATCTGGTGTCTATTGATAGAATACTCTTACTTTCCAAGTTCTGAGGCCAGTCACGACCTCAAAGAAAGAAATAATCTTCAAGGCTTATTTACATCTATTCATTTGTTCATTCATGGGAAAATTATGTATGGGAAAAATGTAAAGTGGAAGGAAAGAGGAAAATGATACCCTTCTGCTTCTTTTCTGGTATGCAGAAAATTAATCATATAATTTTTTATTGAATTTGCCTCAAAGGGTTAAATGAGAAAAAGATTGCAAGGCCATCTAACACAGTGTCTGACACATAGTAAATGCTTCAAAAAGGTAGTTTGTTTATTTCTATGCAATAGACTACAACCAAGGATCTCACTCCTTTACTTCTGCATGACCCACTGTCCTATTTTCTTGTTTTATCTTTTTCATTCAAGAATGATCTGTGTGTGCTTTCTTTCTGAATCTGTAAGAGGGGTTCAATGTTTAGTTACATAGTAAAGTGCAGATAAGAACCTTGGGCCAGCATTTCCCCTAAATCTATTCTATGATTTAAGACACCTTGGGGAAGGTATATATGAGCTCCTACATTAACGGATGATGATTTTTATCTTTACCAAGTGACCCACAATTTGTTACTGGTGCAATGAGTTAAGAAAATAGCATACTTTTATGACTGTCATTTCACAGTCACTCAAATCAGAACTGGAATGTCACAAAAACAACTCCCTGTTCGCCCAGAGGAAAAAAAAAAGAAAGAAAGTAAAGGGGAAATTCAGATTAGTCACAAAGAAGTTCCCCCGCCTGCCTGCAAAAGTTGCAGCGTTAAAACTGAGAGAGTCCGCTTTGCTCTTTCAATCGCCTTTTATCTCTGGCCCTGGGACCTTTGCCTATTTTCTGATTGATAGGCTTTGTTTTGCCTTTACCTCCTCCTTTGTGGGGAAAACATCAGTTTTATCCCAGGTTCCCCTTTTCCATATCTTCATTTTCCCTCTACCCAGATTGTGAAGATGGAAAGGGTCCAACCCCTGGAAGAGAATGTGGGAAATGCAGCCAGGCCAAGATTCGAGAGGAACAAGCTATTGCTGGTGGCCTCTGTAATTCAGGGACTGGGGCTGCTCCTGTGCTTCATCTACATCTGCCTGCACTTCTCTGCTCTTCAGGTAAGATGCACCACTGGGCGCTGTTTTCCCACCAGCTCGTGCTGATGGCAGCTGCAACAGCCGCAAACAGTCGCTTGGAAATAATCTTATGCCAAAAGTGTTGAGTTTTTTTTTCCCCCTCCCCACAGCAATCATAAAGTGTGGTTAAACGCCCTTCTGTCTCTCCTTTCCTTCCTTCTTTTCAGCAGTGGCAGTGGTAGGGCAGAGTGGAGGTAGGGCAGAGGCACAGCTTTTAGATCTTTTTCTTTTTCTTTGCAGTGCAAGAATCCTGATATCCCTTTATAAGCTGTCACTTTGAAGCTTTGAGTCACTGATATACCTGGTCTACCCATTGTGATAGTAATGTGTTTGATCAGGCAATTAATATTAGAAGGAAATACGAAAGAGACCAGTTCCACTTTCCCATAATATTCATAAACTCTATAGACCTGCAAGGTGATTTTCTTTTTAAAGAATGCTGAAGGTATCAATATTAATAGGGGAGCAACGTGTGTGTGCATGTGTGTGTGCCTACGTGCTCACTCATTCACCCCAATGATTTAATCAGATATTGTTTCTCACAATCTATCTCTTCCAGTCATAACTTAAAGACATCATTTCATCTTTTTCCCACCTTATTAAATACATCATGTAGGAGGAGATTATCTTTCTAGTATTTTTCCCCATGTAATTAAAATATTTCCATTTTTCCTTCACTTTATTCTTGTTCCGCACTTCTGTCTTTTGCATTATTTTTTCTTATTCACTAGTTCAGATATAAAAACATTATTAGGTATTTAAAGATGTTCTTCACTGCAGAAGATGCCACTGGAGAAAAATAAATCTATACTCTCCTCGTGTTCCTTTGTTGAGCTAGTCTGATAATCTTGTTTTCCAGCTGGTTGCTTTGGTTTAGAAATGTTTCTCCCTGATAAAGGTCAGATAATACAAACTTTGATTTCTGATTGTCTTGTCTGAGATTAAGCACCTCCAATGAAACCAGAATGAGATGAGCAGTCTTGGCAAATGCCTGGGCTTGTTTCTGCCTACAGGAAATAGGGTTTTCAGTGCATGGAGGCTGGTAAGAGTGTGTGTGGTTATGATCACTGTACCACAGACAGTGCTTGTGTCTCCAAATTCCAGAAGTGTAGCTGGTGTCACGCTCAGGTCTGCAGACCAGTGAGCACAACAACACACTCATCTTCTCCTCATCACACCACACGGTTACGTCTTCTCGCAGAACTCTTTAGGTGAAATTAAAGTAGGCGATTCGGGGAGAGGGTGTGGGGGAAGAGTAAGGTGTCCGTGGCAGGATGCCCAAGACATCGACCGGATGCCCAAGACATCGACCGGAATTAGGCTCTTTTGAGAAGAAAACAAAGAGAGTAACCAAATATAGAACAGCTGAGTGCATTCACCAATCTGGGAGCCCTAAGAGTGCTTTTTCTAACAACCACAGTGTTACATATTTCCTTACACCATGGGATGATAAAACACAGGACACATGGCTCCATTCAAGGCTAACTGATTGCACGAGGGCTCTGAGCAGGAGACAGCAAAAGGTGAAACACAGTTGTACAGCTTGCTGGTGGTTGGGGTCACCTTGGACTATCAATATCCAGGAGATGTTGAGAAAAAGAGGGGGTCCTTTCCAACAAGCCATCCAGCAACTCTGGGACAGAAGGAAAGCTGTGGGAAGAAAAGCAGGGTGCTGGTTTCTAGGAGAGTAAACCTCATGGTGAGTGATCTCTAGGGGAGAATTAGCTTCTATAGTCCTGGCACAGAGACGGAAGCAAGACATAGGTGGTTTATTTGAGTTGTTTGCTTAAGAAACATGCTTCTGTCTACTCTGAATATAGATTTTTTGTTTGCTCAGATATTTGAAATTCTTCACTTGATGTTAATTATAAATTTTTTATTTCTAATTAGCTAATGTAATTTCTTATATTGTTATAGGATCTGGGACAGCACAATGGGTCCTCACATTTAATCTCGTGTTTATTATTTACACTTCATTATGAGAAGGATAGCATAGATGGGTTGTGTGTGTTTTCCCTAGAACCTGATAGTTTACCAAATAATGTTGGTGGCAGTGGTAGCAGCAGTGTGTGTGTGTGTTTGTGTGTGTGTATGTTTGTGTGTGTTTGAGAGACAGACAGAAACAGAGACAGAGAGATTGAGAGAGAGCATTGTAGAGCAGCTGTTGAAAAAGAGACATAGACTAGTAGCCATTTAAAACTCATCTACAATACTGTGTGGAATTTTGATTAAGGGATTGGGGGGCGGTGGTAGTGGTGGTATTGGTAGTGGTGATGCAAGTCAAACCTCTATTTTATAAGACATAATGTTACAGTGATGTGTATCGGAGGTGAAATAGAGCTGAAATGCTTACCATTTACCCAGTTAAATTGGACCTCTTTTATTGCGAGAGAAAAGTTTTTGGGAAATAATTATGATTTTCCCCTTTATTTCTTAGATTTATTTTTTTAGTCTATGAAAAATTGCCTACATGAATGGCTCTATAAATACAGAGATAGCTACTAAGCTCCATTTGTCTGTCAATTTTCCTTTCAATCAAGTTTATTTAGTAACCTCTGTTTTCTCATCACTGGATTAGGTCTATCTACAAACATGAAATGCAGAATATTTTGTTTTCAAGATGCCAGAAAAAATGTTAGACCCTACCCACTCCTCATCTAATTTACTTTCCTCTTTGGGCCTTGAGTTTATCATCTGTATTATGAGAAAGTAGGATCAGATGATCAATGAGATGTCTTCCAGCTCAATATCTTATGAATATATAGTTTATATGTTCATAGAATGGATATAAGGATTTGAGAAATACAAAATGTGAGTTAGTAGATTTTTGTGTTTAAGCTTATGGATTTCCTGGCTCCTAAGAAGGGATTGAGAGGAATCAAATTCGCACATTTCATACTTTTCTATATTTAGGTTATATATTCTGTACATATCTAAATAACCTATTCTGGATTAGCAAAACACACTTTTTATAAAAGGGAAAGACGTGAATGCCCTGTAAGAATATTCATGACACAAGGTATATAATTCAATGCTTCTATCACCAAAACCAATACACACTGTTTGGATATTACATTGGGATGTCCACTTAAATTGTCAGGTTTCCAGTCTTACTTGGAACTTCAACTATGGAACAAAGTAGAAAAGGCTGACCTATAAGGTGTGAGAAACCTCACTGAAACCATTGAAACTTGGCTCTTCCAAGATTCGTATCACCTTTATCATCACCCTCAAAGATGTGAAGGCTTTTAGTCATTATTTTTTCAGCAATTCCTACCGTTAAAGGCTTACATTTTTATCACTTTTTTTCAGCTGGGAAAAACAGAAGTGGAGATACTTAGAAAAGTGGGTTGACCAGTTCTATATCAGTGAGAGCTGGAATTAGAATTCAGTTTCTTAATGACATTTTCGGCTACAACTTGGACCTTTCTTTGTATCATTTAATAAGAGAAAGAGGAGTTTGCTGAAGAAAATCTTGTTTCAGATTAGCTTAATTTAAATGTCTCCATGTAATTTAGCAAGTTTTTAGAAATTCTTTTTTAATGATAGACCTGCAAATAAGATAATTTCAAAGGAATATGAATTGCTTTACATAAGTAAATCTTTGAGAATTAAAACATAACATCCAAAGTTGACTTGGCTTGTCATAAGGCATTTTGTGGCTTCTAAAGGAGGCATTAAACATATAGAATCATTGAATTTGGGGGCAGGTATTAGATATAGTCTATTTACAGATAAGAAAAAGAAACCTAGAGAGGGTAGGTGAACCATTCGTGATCACTTAGCTAGTTAATTCACCAGAAACTCCTGATTCCTACACTATGGTTCTTCCTATTATCAATGAAGCCATCCTTACATAGATTTTTTTCTACTGAATGTTTACTTGTGCTAGGTACTGTTTGAGGCATTGGAGATATAAACATCTATTGGAGAAGGTTTTGAACTATTTGCACTCACAGTCAAGATGCAGGGTGGGGACAAAAGAGTGACATGCTCAAGGGACAATGGGAAGATGAGAAGAGGGAGGGGCTGCCTCAGCCTTCTGGGGAGTCAGGAAAACCTGCAGTGGCAGATAATGCTTCAGCTAATACTAGAAGGAGGAGGATAAATTCTTTAAGCAGACAAGAGGATGGGAATCGGTGGGTAGGGGCGGGAGTCTTACTAGGCAGGAACAGCAAGTTTTCCTGAATAGCTCAAGTTGAGTATTCCTGTGGGAAAGTGGTGGAGATGAAGCTGAAAAGCTGGTGAGGTGGGAAGCAGTTCACAGAGGATCTTGTGAATCATGCTAAAGGAACACTCTTCATTCTCTCCTACGCCAAAGGAAATACAGGAAAAATTACCAACATTGTTAACTCTCCAAATTTTGCTTCTCTTGTGTGGTCTATATTTTGGCAAATACAGAAAGTGAGTCTAATCCGATCAGCACTAGGGGGCACCACAGTAAAAGTAACCATTCTCTTGTGTCTGAAGACAGCTGATCCTCTTTTCCTGAAGAGTTGATTAGAAAACTTCTCAGGCAGTCAAGGGCTCATCCACATATAAGAGAATGAACAATATCAGGGGCAGCTAATATTATTCACTATTTGCACAGTGATGATATTTTCTAAATGAAGTGTTTAGATATATGTTTTGGTCCAGGTACTCAAAATAGGACAGAATAATTTGGATGGGAATGATGCTGGAAAATATTGCACATTTATACACATATAGATCCAAATACACACACACAGAGGAGAGCTGGGAAACAAGCAGGAAGGCTCTAGGTATAGATCTAGGGATACAATCTCTCTGTTCCTCTTCTCTGACCTCAGTTGCTGGTTACTAGTACTGAGTAGACCCAGTCTTGTTTAGGGGCTGGCCACCTTGGCCTTCCACTTCTTCTTCTTTTTTTTTTTTTTTTTTTTTTTTTTAATATATATACCAATTACTTCCCTCTCAAATGGCAGCTTCTCCCACTTCAGGGATTCTCCATTCATGGAAAA